GGCGGCGCGGAGCCGATGGCTGAGGCGGGAGGAGGCCACGGCGGGCTGACGGAGGACGGGGCGGAGCGAAAGGGGCGTGTTTCCGGCCAGCTCAGCAGCCGCCTTCCGGTTCTGCCGCAGCGGGGTGGGCGCCGTGCTGAGCAGCGGTACCCGCCGAGCCGGCCCGCCGCCGCCGCCGCCGCCTCGCTGGTGGACGGGGACAGCCGGCAGCCATCGCGGGGCCCCGGCGAGGAAAGGGGAGACGCCTACGAGAAGAAGCAGGACGAGGACCGGGCGGCGCCGCTCTCCGCCGCCGCCATGCTGAACATCTTCCGCTCCATCCCCACGCAGATGGTAGGGCAGCCGCCACCGGAGGACCGGCCGCGCCCCGGCCCTCGACCCCTTGTCGCTGGTGGCGACGCGGCTGTGTGCGGGTTGTAGCGTTCCCCTGCCGCCGTGCGGTGGAACTGCTGTTGGGGCTGAGGGGTGGCACTCCGTGTCATTTCGATCTTTTGGTCTGAAAAGTCGAGATTTAACGGGCTGTGAAATGACGGCGATGTACAGCTGCGCAAGGGAAACCCTCTGTACCGGTCTGCCTGCGGTCGGTACAGCCAGAAGGCAAAGCGTTCTCGAGGAGAGCCACGTTTTCTAAAGCCGTGCAAGCGCAGGTGACGCACGTCCCGGGTCCTCTCAAGCATGTACTCTTTTTCTGGTGTTAACGGCTTTTGCGTAGCGGTATTAAGCAAACGGCAAGGGTATTTTGAACTTGCGTGACTTATCCTGAACAGACAGTGCTTGCTTTTATTTTTGGATGATGTGGTCAAGAATAGAGGGCAGGTGTTAAGTGTGAATTAAGAGCTTAATTCTTTTATACTGGAAATCCAGACACTGTAAGAAAAATAATTCCAGCCTGGTTTGAAAGTTGAACAAAAAAAGCTGAGAACCTGTGGTCAGGCTGACTCTAGGCTCTAACTTGAAAGAATGTAACTGGTAGGTTTGTGTTCTGGGTAACTGACAAAAACGTATCTCTTTCTACAGGACTACAAGGGCCAAAAATTAGCAGAACAGATTTTTCAAGGAATCATTCTTGTCTCTGCAGTAAGTATACTAGAACTATGGGCGCTAACAACAAGGACCTTGTCTTCTGATCTTACAAACAACATTTTTTTTCTGATTGTTTGGCTTAACTGGATCACAGAAAGCTTTAGACAAGATCAGAGGGGCTGTCATGGATTAAGACTTTTCTTCTTTCAGTCTTTTACTTTCATTATTGGCCTACAATTTTGAAAACAAGGTTAGAAAGATGTATGAACTGTGCTTTTGAAAAACCTGTATTTTTCTACTTAACTGCTGCCCCCTGCCCCCGAACTTAATCATGGCATGGGAAATGGTTTTGTTTATTTAAAGTTTGATTTTTTAAATTTCCCCCCCCCCAGATAATTGGTTTCATCTATGGATACATCACTGAACAGTTTGGATGGACTGTCTACATAGTTATGGCTGGATTTGCTTTATCGTGTTTGGTAAGAATTTTTTTTCCCCAAACCAGAAAATTCATGCACTATTTAACCTGAAATAATCATTAAATTAAGGGGCTGTCAGTACAGACAAATGTTTGCTATATAACTCAGATTGTTAATACATATTTTTACTTTCTTTGATCCAAAGAAAGTCCTTTAAAAACCACTAAGTGCCTTTTCTCAAACACTAGTAAGATTTTAGAGAACACTCTAATTTAATACTGCTTTTGAATTAATTTTTCATTTCAATTGTATGTTACTTTTAAGTCAAGCTGATAGCACTGATAACAGAAAGGACAGTGAGGCTTTCTGTGCAGTAGTAGCTTGTCATGAAAATTTTGCACCAGGCCCATGCCGACCAAGGAGAGAGGCTAGGACGCAAAGTATAGAATTACAAGAGTAATTCCTTTTTTATGCACGTGAGGTGTCCTGTTCCAATGGTGGCACACCAAATGCGGTTTTACACATGGTTCTTATACCTTTCAAGCATTCAGATACAACACGATTTGACCAATTGCTACTTAACACACACATACTACTGTTTTGAAAAGCCACTATAATTCTATGGCATCATCATCCATCTGCTGCTTTCTTGATCTAAACGTCCCTGAAGTAGGTCTTGCTACAGTTACTTACCTATGATGCCAGATAATTGCAGCATTTCACAGAGGCGTTAGAGGGGCTAGGATGCCGGCGTTACCGCGTTAGTCCAGCAGTATCCTTTTTTTCTTCAGGGTGGGTGCTGTCATTCTCCTCCTTGCAATGAGCTGGGGTCCTTTAGTCATGCTTACTTAAGCGTGACTGTGCAGTATACAATCTAAACTATGTATGTATATTTCTCTCTCTTTATAGTATGAAATTGTATGAACTTTTTTTAAACTAATTGGTACAATAGTTAGGGAATGAGATTTTCCTAACAAGCTCTACAAAACACTTATCTAGCATCTTGATTTACATGTTCTGACTTCATTCCTTTTCTCTAAGCTGACACTCCCTCCGTGGCCTATGTACCGCCGCAATCCTCTGAAGTGGCTACCTGTCCAAGAGTCAGGAACAGAAGAAAAGAAGCCAGCAGACAGAAAGCCAAAGAGACATGCTAAAAGCTAAAAAAATGTGGTTCTTCACACTGTTACTTTGTTAAATTTTGTTAAATTTTGTTAAATGCATTTCCACTGGGAGATACTTCTTGGCTTAGTGTTTGGGTTCTTTCCGACTACTTTGTATACTACAGTGAGCACACCAAGATCTGCAGAGACCATGAAGGCTCACTAATTTTTTCCTGGAGTTTCAGTGAAGTTACTGGGAAGGCAGGGTGGGGGGATTAACTTTAGAAGGCTACTGGAGGTCACATCTTACTCAAGTATGTTAGTAAAAAGGAACACAGTGAATCAAATCAAGTATAGCTAAGCTGTTGCTGTAGCCCAAAAGGTAATATACAGCTGGACTTCTACTAAAATATTTCTAACCATGTGTAAAACACAACCTGGCACTACTGACAGCTTAAGTACTGTAAAACAGTACATACCTCACAGTTCTGAAAAACGCTAAGAACTAGAAACTGTTCTAGAATAGGAGATTGCAGAGTGGCATTTTTTGTTTAAAATAAATTTGCCCGAGTAGAGAAAGTAACATCTTGACTCTGCATGGTACAATAGCTCTTAAAACTTTGTAACTTGAGCATCTAGTATGTGCCAGGCAGCAGGATCCATAGGTATTGCACTTTTTTACTACTGGCTGTCATGTTAGTATTCTTCATAGGTACCAGAGGTTACAATATTAAAGCTAGAGGCAGAGAAAGAGACAGGTTGTGCATTTAAAATTTTATTTTACAAATTCAATTCCCTTTGACTTCTTTATCCTTTAAAAAGAACACATGCTTTTTCTGTAGTGATGGTACGTGACAATGCCTGTGCATGTCTAGGAACACAACCTAGATGCAAAGAAAGGGAAGAGCTAAGACGCTGGTCTTGGGCACTTTTCATTCGTAAAAGGAATTAGTATTTGTAAGGCAAAGGGATTTCTCCAGCTGGAACCATGGTAACCATGGCTGTGTTCCTTTCAAACATTTTCAGACTTATTTTATCCAGTTACCAAATACTTTCCACCACCTTGGCGATTGCCTTAGCAATCAAACACAAAAGCAAAGGCTCTGGTTAAAAGCAGTACAGGCCCCCCTGCCCCCCAGCACTTTAACTTGGCAATTTACAGAACCTGGAGGGCTTTTGGTGCTACAAAAATTAGTAACTGTTTCTCCCTAGTTTCACAACTATTTAATGTAATAGCTTATAGCCTATCACACCATAGCCTTGGCATAGATTTCGTTACCATATTTAGTATGTGACCATACCAAAAAACTTTTGCTATGACAAATCCAAACCAAAACTTTTTTTTTTTGACACTCCTTTGTATACAAAACTTGGTATCCATCCTTCTTTGCATCTATAAAAAGCAACTTTTTAAAGTTTCATTATGAGAATAAAAACTAAACTAAACAGTTTCTCTTCTGAGAAAGTGATAGCCTGGTTCACATTTTAATATGAAAAATATTACTACAAGCTCTAACATTTTTTGCAAGTTCACCTCCTTATTCTAGCAAAGGAGATCAATGGATAAATGTAAGCTGGTTCAATCTATCATGAGATATAAAACAGTCCTTTTCTCCAAGAAAAAGGTTCTGGTCAGAACTTCACGTTTTCTTCAAGAAATTTCAGATGGCGTGCTTTCACACTGTAACTTGCATACTTGTCTCCCATATGCTCCCGCAACTGCAGCTATTTAGAACACACACACAAAAAAAACCCACAAAATTTATTAACATTGAAAAAAGCATGAACTACCAAAATATTAACAAAAAAAATACCAAAGCACTCAAGTGAAAGCAGCATGTGAATTTGACAACATAGATGGGAGGGAAGAAAAATGGAAGAGTCTTTGTTGTCCAAAGGCAAGAGAGTTCCAAATCCCACCTGACAATTTAAAATATAAATCAGATCTTCACAGGTTGTACTTACCCATGCAGTACTTCATTTGTAACCAAGTTTTGAATCAAATGAGTTTGAGATACTGTTGACTCACCTCTGTTAGGAACAGACATTAAACTGTTTCTCACTTTGAACATAAGGGGCACGAGGCAAGTAATTTGAGGCAAAAAATTATGGCTCAAAAGAAATTATTATTGGAGAAACACTACGGAGTAAATTTGCATCCCTTGCATCTTCTAGAAACTCAGGGACCATGGTACAATTCTAAAGCTCCTGTGCTTTCTGAAGAATCTGTGATTGAACATAGTCTACATTCAGAATCAAACTTTTTTAAGATTGAAAATGACAATATACTTAGGCCTTTGCCTGCCAACAACTACTTTTTGGAATCAAGGTTTGCACTACTGTATCAATATCTAAAAAAAAGGCAGGGAGGGGAAAGGGAGGAGTAAAGACCCTGCTCATTTATCCAGGTTTATAAAGAAATGGAACAATTTTATTATGAGAGACATTCACCTCTCTCTTCACTTCATCGTCTTCTTCCATGATGCTGTATGCCTTTTCAAGAAGTTTCACTCCCAATCCTTGCACCACATCAGATCTCAGGATTTCAACCATTCTCCTAATCTTGTCAGGAACTGATAACATATCTATTAAAAAAAAAAAACACAAAAAAAACCCCAAAACCCAATGTAGTCATAATTACTTTCAGTATAGTCTATTTTCATACTCTATGCAGAAGAAGAATAGGGGATGACTGTTAGTTAGGTATTACCACAGAATTCCAGCTGACCATTTGCATGAAGTAACTGTTATCTGAACTGGCTAGCTATAATGATCAACAAACATGGTGAATCAGAAGCATTCAGATGCTAACTGTTAAGACATTGATCAGTGCAAAGTCAATGCAGATACAGTTTGCACAATTAGGTCCCTGAACTTCATTTCAGGTAGTTCCTGTATACTATATTGCAAATATTATTTGAATTAAAAGTACTATTCTCTAATACTACGCCACCACCCAAATATTTTAATAATTCAATCACTTGTACTTGCAGCAAATGTAAAAAAAGTTTAATCACTGTAAAACATTAATGGCATAATTTCTGTCATCTGCCTGTGTCAAGAGTCTTTGAATCTTTTGCTCCCCAGCTGAAGCTGCCAAGAAGAGATAGTCATTTTATAAGGGTAGGCCTCCATTAGGAACAGAACTGAGAATGCTAGCTTGCTCTTTTAATCACTGAAATCACCAACACTCCTTTCATAGGATGGGTCACCTTCTGAAAATAAAATATCTGATCTAAATAAAGTAAGTTTCAGCTTAGAAATGCAGTAGCCCTGTCATCCCAAATGGTACTAAGTAAATAGCTGGAGGATCTCGCTATACAATACTTAAGAGTGAGAAAAACAGACAGAAAACCCACCAAACTGAAATTTGTACCTTCAACACTGTCATACCTGTTTAGAGACAAACTCTTTCAACCTATTTTACTTTAGCTATGCAGAATCAACTTACCAGAGTAAAATCCAGTGTTCTCCCATTACTTTGCCTATCACCAGGCCAGTTACAAGTAGAATCCCTATCATTTAGAACAATAAGCACGTGAGGGTCAGAGACTTCAAAAACCTACACTGAGCTTTTTCACTTGTTGTATAGTAAGTGCAGTCATACCAAATACAATTTTTTCTTGCTTTTTGGAATACATATACATATTTAAGGTCTAAATCAGACCTTAAATATGAAAAGTGATTCAATTCTTGCACCTGTATCTGTAGGAAAAATGAGCTTGCCCAAATTCTGCAATGAGGATGAACTTCTATACTTGTACAAACCTCCACTGTATTTAAAGCTTTGTGTACAATTTCAGCTTTATCCGTAATTCACAAAGCTTGACAGCTATCAAATCGTTTGAATGCCTTAAAAAAAAATCTTATTTCAAAATACTCAACTCCAACTGTTCATTTTGGAAGCTTCTAAATATAAGTCACATGGGGAAAAAAATCATATTGCAGACCAGCTTTCTGTCTTCATTAATAATTACACAGATCGATCGCACATTCCTTTCATTGGCAAGTAAACCACAACCACAGCAGTTTTGCACACAAAATTATTTAGAAGGATGTCTACTTCTGTAAGCATTGTTGAGACTTGAGAAGAAATAAGAGTGGATTCTGTTGCCCACTAGCAGGTTTTCTTTCATTATTAGCAGTCAACAATCATTCATTTAAAGCAACAACAGAGCAACAGACCTGAAGAAATCTCTTCCAATTTTAATTCCTCTGATTCATCAGGTGATTTTCCATGCAAAATCAAAGTGTCTCGATATTTTCTATGAAGTTTAAACTCTGGGGCTGGAGTCGAGGTTACACAGTATTCAGCATTCTCCTTAGAGTCCATTTTCAGTGTCCATGTCATTAGCTGCACCAAGTCATTCATTTCATTCATATTGCTTTTTCTAGTAGAGGAGAAATAAGATTTACTTCAGTCACCATTCATGATGCAATTTTCACCTTGCATTCAGAGGACTTTAAGTTTAGTGAGGTCCTGCTAAGTATTCCATGTTAAATTATTTCTTTTGGGGCAGTTTTATCAATAGCAACATTAGCAGTATTTCATCGAACAAAGGCTCAGAGCCCATTCACCTAGCAACAATTCACAATCCTATCAGCTACTGCTACCTGTGTAGCTGCACCAGTGGTAATGCAACAAATAATATTTTTTGAAAAGTTGCTTACACTGACAAAAACAGAAATAAATTCAGCCTCATTCACAGGGGGAAGGAAGCATATCGGCACCTTCTAACTCATGCTTTTAATGCATCCTGACAGTATATGTCCTTTGATGCTGGAATACTGATTTCCTGGGAAGCTACAGTTGACAAAAACCAGAGGTACACAATCACACGTCCCAGAAAGTTCAGCATAGAAAGTTTATAGTCACAGAGAGACAACAATTAAATGGAGTTCGTTTTCTTTATGCATCACATACTTCTTCAACCACTCACTATGTAGTGATGAAGTGTGAAAGCAATTCCTGCCATTTTTTTCCCCACTCCAAGTCAAGGTCCAATATAGCAGTGAAAACTCTTGCACAGTATTGAACAAAATACTTACCTCTCCTTGGAATCGCCATCAGACTTATCTGTAGAGCTTGTGGAAGAGCTTAACTCATCATCAGACAGGCAATGGGTTTCTCTCTTTCTCTAAGTGAAGAGGGAATAAATGACAAAAATTCTAATAGCCGAAAGTAATTTATCAATGTGGCATGAATTACATGGAAGAAACACTTTCAACAGCATATTTTTACAGACTCTGCTTGGTAACATTTAAAAGGTGTAACCTTTGGTTTTAAAAACAAGCTAATACACAGGACATCATCAACACACTTTATGAAATGCTTATGTGACTAGCATTACATCTTAGTCATGCAGTTTTAACCACTATAAATGCTTCACCAAGTGCCTCTATTAAAAACAATTAAATCATATATCTGTGTCGGTTCTTTGCCAACTATATTATAAAGTCATTACCCTTAGCCTCTCTATTGGTCTTTAATACACATTTAAAAACAGTATTTAAAACAGTATTTAAAACAGTTTTAAGTTCCCAGCATTCCCTAAAATATACACAGATTTTAACCACTTGTGTCTCTACAGGCTTGTGTTCAGTGCATAGCATAATATGCAAAAACATCACTAGCATATGCACATACAACTAGTGCATACGAACTTTATGTAATCTCAGTTTGTGAATGCAGATGAAGCTTTTGCATTTAGATACCAGTTATAAGCATACACACATAGGTAAAACATGCAAAATACTTTCCATGCAAGTGCTGGGCTGAGGAAAATAGAGCC